ATCCATGTTGGGATTACCACCCTTTGGGCTTGGAGGATCGTCTCCTTAAGGAACAACCACTCTAGCTGAACACCCGAATCTCCTCCCCTCCAGGACCTCAATGCCTCCCCGACTATTCTCCTTAGCTCACTGAAATCCGCCCTCCTGAAGTCCAGAGCTGCTGCCTTGCTGTAGGCCTTTGCCACCTTGTGCTGGATGGTGAATTCCAGCAGGTGATGATCGCTGTTGCCCAGGTGGTCGAGCACGCACAGACCCCTCACCAGGTTGTCGCCTGTGGCCAGGATCAGATCCAACAAGGCATCTCCCCTGGTGGGACTGTGCACCTCCTGGGTTAGATGGAGGTCCTGTATCTTGGCTAGGAATCTAAGTGAGCGGTCAGACCTGGCTGACTGCTCTTCCCAGCAGTTACAAGCACTGGGCCAAATTCTGTACAGTTTAGGATTTTGTCTTACCACTCCTTACTGTAGTATGTAAGCACCCTCTTTTATAAATCAATAGCAACAGTGCATTTCCTAGAAAGACTTCTTTGTGTCACTGGAACATGTCCTATTTCAGGATTTTTTAAAAATGAAAACAACCCTTTGCTTGGGGTAGGGCTGGATTTTTTATTCTTAAAATTTCCTGTGTGGAGGATCCCAGGGTCTTCAAAGGTTTCTGATTGCCTGAGGTTTTATGAGCAGAGATATCAGTGCTGTGTCCTTTTTATGGAAGAAAAGCCTCTTCCAGTATGAATGATTTGCAACATGTCTTAAAGACAGTTAGACTGGTTTTGCTACCATGCAAGCCTATTGAAGGCAACTGAACCAAACTTATTTGGAATCACTGAGCTCCAGTAAAGATAGGACACATGATACTGATTACAGAGTGAGTTGTTGTCCAAACAGAACTGTACTTCAAGGCTCTAAAGACAGACACTCACATTGAATAGTGAGGTCATACTGAAGGCCTCATTGAAATAAAGGAAATGCTCAAGGAAAAAACATTTCCCACCTTCCTATATATACAGAATCTAAAAGTTAGCATCAAAGACATTCAAAAGACTAACCAATGCTAATCATTGTGATTGAGTTGCTGGGACAAGCATTTGCTACTACTCAAAAGAAAAGACAGCAGATAATAGATATTTTAGAGGACAAAAATTGCTCCTGGTCACAGGTGAAATTTGAGACTCCAAGGGTGGACACACAACTTATTTATATATTAAGGTAAGTTGTACCTACCCCTGGAAAAGACAGATTATCTCTCCTTGGGTAGAGACACTGGGTGTGTCCAGACGAGCACACGTGTGCAGTTTGTGGCACCTCAAAGCTGTTTGAGGCGCCACAAACAGCACACGTGCACCTATTTGGTGCACTGCTAATTTGCAACACGGCGCCAAAATTTGATACCGGGAGATCCCAGCGTCAAAAAACTGCCATGCAAAACAGTGTCATGGAGTGGGTGTCACAGCAGTTTCCACTGCCAGAAGCAGAGCCTGGCTGGCCAGAGCCACACTCTGGCTGACAGCCAGGCTCTGAGCAGCTGGATTGGCACACTTGCTGCTCCTGGAGGCCCCCAGAACCTCAGGTATGGCTGCTGGGGCCAGCACAGGTGGTGGCCCCAGCCCCACCCTACCCCACCCAGGTCAATTTACCATGCACTGGAGTGCACGTGCAGGGGCATTTCCTGGGGCAAAAAGCTGTAGCACAAATATGTGCCATGGAAAACACATGACCCTGAATGTGCATGGCCATCTGGATGTGCCCACTATGTGTTTTTTTGCATCTACTTTGTAGTATCAGCTATGCAACCTAACACGCTGTCATAATTTGAGGTCACATCCACATTTCAGATGGAGGAGCAACGTAGGCCCCCTCTACAGCTTACGGTTATACACCGTTCACTGGTTAATTGCACAGTTAACTGAGACGAGCTACACATGCAAAGTGCCTATCATGCCATAAAAAGGTCCAACCAGCTGACAAGTTAGACCTCAAAAATGTGTATTAACTTTACAGCTAGTTGCTACGCAGCTTTAATTTGTATGGGTAGCAAGGTCTGCCCCTGCAGCTGGAAGCCTCATCAGCAGTGCAGCTGGGGATGGGACTTGTGCAGCTGAGGGGACTCTCAGTCCCAGCAACTGCAGACTCTGGGTGCCAGGAGCTCCCTGTGGATACTGGAATCCAGAGTCCTGCAGCTATGGATACTGTGTGCCAGCCGTGCTCTGTGATGCCAGGATCCAGGGTCCCACAGCTGTGGATTCTGGGTCCTGGCAGCACCCCACAGCTGGGAGACTCTGGGTCCTGACCCCACAGGACACTGCTGGCACACAGAATTCATACCTGCAGGACTCTGGATTCCAGCTGTTTTGCCAGCAGCCTGGTTGCTTTATGCATGCTTCTAAGTCTATTATGACAATGAATGGCTACAGTTTTCAAACTACAGGAAGAGGTGGCACAATCAAATTTGATTTATGCTTTAAGGAACCAAGTGAAATTGAGTGAGGTTTCGCTTGGAACTTAAACTGCTTTAAACGAGGCAATGGTCTTCAGTACCAATTTCTGCTTGGTTCAAAAATCCCAGCCTCAGAATGGGGACAACCCTTTCATAATGTGAAAGAAGGGGCCTTCAAAGTAAGGGGAAAAATGTAGCCCAGCTAATAAGGGTGGCTTGAGAGTTTTCTGCTTGAAGGCAGCTATTGAAAATCTATATGAGGCAACACTTTATTATGAACTGTAGGGCACAATTACGTCTCATTGCCAGAATCCAGACATCTGAACTGCACCTGTACTCTTACATTCTTATCTCCTGCCAAGAATAGGGCACTGAGGATTTATTGCTTTATAGGAAACAAGCTCTTAAAAAACCATAACTGCTTCATGCTACACTTATGAATAACAACATAGGCTTGTCAAAATGCCCTCATTTCTTACAGATCCATGGCACAAGAAGGACAGCTGCTCTATCAGTCTACTTTAAGACTCAAATGAAATGAGTCCAACTATATCATCACATTTATTTTCAATAACCAAAATATGATGGTCTGATTGCCTGAAATTTTTTTGCAACTTTTACATAGTTTTATATAACACAATTATCTTTTTCAGCCCCATTTGCTTAATGTACTTGCTAGGGCCCCTAATGGTATCAGGTCCTTGGGCAAATGTTACTACATTTCTCAGAGCACTGTCCTAACTACTTGGTATATTTCATGAAGTTCTAGGCTTACTGAGATGACTAATTACCCATGTTCCCCTTCTACCCTGAGGTCCACTATCTGCAATAAACAACATCTGATACTTTGGCTGGATTAGAAGGGAGGTAAAGGATCCATGCCAGACTTGCATGCCAGACCCTGAAAGCTTGCCCAGGTAGGTAGGGACCTAGATAATAGATCCCCACCTACCTTGAAATGACTTGAGAGGGGTAGCGGGGTTGTAACATGTCAGAGAGAAAATTGCATGCATCTGTGTTATAGACAGAAAGATCAGTTGGTTCCACAAAAACTGGTTTGACTGAATCAGGTGGAAGTAACAGAGGGGACTTGGGCAAGGTCAGCAATAAGATCTACTAAGAGATACTTTCTATGATACTTTTTTGGTGAAAAATCCTTTCAAATGAGAGATCTTTCAGTTGGGTTTGTAGCCATGATGACCTGCAGCAGAATATTCATCAGGATGGATTTAATATCTAAACCAGAACTTTCACTTCCTTCTTCACAGTACCAAGTAGAAGGTTTATAATATATATGTAAGTGACAAACACTTGGACTTACATTTTCCTTAGTTTGGACAATTTCTTAAAGAGTCCAGTTGCTTCCAAAACTGAGATATCATTGTCATTGAGACGCCTGGTGAGAACAAACAAAAAAGGCACTTAATGTTTCATTGATCTCTTCACATATTTCTCCACAACATACAAAATAGCTGCACGGAGTATTCTGACTTTAGGGTAAACAAAAGAACATCTGTCATATTATCTGTCATCCTAATATCTACCACCTATGGAGCTTCCTACCACAGAAAACTTTGAGCCTTTCTAAGCATGTATAAGTCTTTGTGTTCAAAGGTCAGAATTTCCTTAAGAGGTGTGGCATTAAGTCTAATATATTATCTAATCAATCAATAATGAGGTAGGGAGCATTATTCCCTTTAGCTTCCAAATTGCAGGGCCTGGCACTGCTTTTGGCTGGAATGCAAGCCTTATATTGTTTAGATCCCTACCTACCTGGGTGATCTTTCTCTCCAAAGTGCCACCCCAGATGAATGGTATACGAGCAGGAATAGCTTGCAGGGCTTTTTCCATGTGGCCAGTTAGATCTGTGACTTTCTTACCATGATTTGGTTGTAAATAGTCTGGCATAGGTATCCTGAACTTTAGACAAGCTACAAAGACGGTTAGCAAGGACTATGAGGGAAGATTTGTGGCTTGGGTATGAGGCTATATTCTTTCCCTCACTGAACTCTCACTTGGTTATGTTTAATTTGATTTTGTTCTACACCAGCACTATTATGCTGTGGTGTGGTTCTTCATTCTATGAATGATTTGGGCAACAACTTTTTTTTTTTTTTCCTATTCAAGCCAAGTGAATATAAATAAATTACTTTACATTCAATAAAGGTTTAAAGCACGTACTATGCCAGAAGAAGTCCAAATACTAAAGATATGGCATAATCTTCTATGTTGTCTTATATTACATTAAACTTCATACTCAATTTTAAGCCAAAAAGATCTCCAAAAGTGGATGCCTATAAATGGGCATATTAATAATATAGATGGAATCACGGCATCTTTTGATTTGTGCAGACACCTCTGAATATAATGAATCAATTATTTAACAGCCATGAGCACAGTTGTAGGCCCAAAGAATAAACTATATCTTAAACAGGAATGTTGGCTCTTGAGAGGTCAAGTAGACAAAAATTAGGAAAAATATGTGAGGCACTCTAGAGCAGCATCCCCTATAACCACCTCTCAAAGAGGCAGCACTTACAGGTCTGTTGTATATTCAGGAAGGTAACTGGGTAATCGGCTAAGTTTTTGGTTGGAACAGTCCACAATTGTTCCCTCGCAGCGACACTTTTCAGGACAGACAAGGTCCATGAAGCACTTTCCACTGAATTTACTTCTGAAATCCTCTGAACCTGTAGGATGATGGAAAGGTATTTGGGTAAACAGATTTTCAATTAATAATAACAAAAATTAGAGGTTGGAACAGGCCTTTCAGTTCCATTTTTTTCCTAGTCCTGCTAACCCCCAATCCATGAAGTGTTACTCCATACAGCATATGTCAAAGTGTTTTGTGCAGTTCCTTTAAAAATGGCACTAGAAACTGGGCTCCTCACTTCCCCTTTCCCATTGGGCATTTATTTCACAGTCTAATAAGCATCCTTGTTAAGGTAACTTACCTACTTCCACTTAGCACTATGGGGAACACTCAAAAGTCTAGACAGGTGGACACCTACCGAAGTCACATGGCACTCACTTCAGCATAAGATTTGTTTAATGATAGCAGCAAGTAAGCTAGCATAAAGTGATCAAGTAATTTTATGCAAAGATGTTCAAAAAGCTGTCTAAAGACTTCAGCTACTGGAGTTACTAACCAGAGTTAAGCATGAGTAAATAAGCCTACTAAATTTTGCAACAATTAAAATATCTTGATTAACTTCTTTAAACAAATAGCAGTTGAAGGTAATGGTAGTTTAAATCATTTTCATTTTAATCAAGGTAGGCAGAGACTGTACTCCATGAGAATCACTCCCTAATGTGCCATTATATAGCAAATGCCAGACCTCTGACTAGTTTTTTGACCCATTCTAATGAAATGCTTTTCCAATTAGGTTCAATGAACTAATCTGTACTTTGCAGTTTTTTCAAATAGGGGTTTTGAAACTTGATCTCTATGCTTTTGGAAGCCAAAATTATTAATAAATGTTTATATGATCAAATGGTTGCCAAGACAGATCCAGTCATGCAATACCTGCCCACTCACTTCATATTTCATTATGGGAACACCAAAAATGTTTCTGGAACAATTTGCTATGCCCAATGATCCTAATAACCAAAAAAAGTATTTCTAACTTTTCTAGGACTTTAAAGTCAATTGCAATTGTAAAATGGATTTGTCACTGCCACAATTATTTAGTTGAAAAGGGCTAATTCAAACAGGCCATACTTTTGTCACAGTGACTGGACTAAGATCATTTTAAAGGATTCTAAAAACACCAGTAAAAGCTAAAAACGAAGCCAAGAGAGATGATGTCATTTTAATGCTGTTTTGCTATTCCAGACAGATAAAAAACACCATTATTTGTAAGAGGAGTAGAAAAAATCATCCAATGACATCACCATTTTAATTATTACATATTCTCTCTGCATACGAATCTAGTGAAATCAAGTTCCCCCAGTAATATAACATTTTGACCATCATAAAAACAGGTTAAAGTCCCACTGATACATTTATAATGGAAATTCAAACTGGTAAAGAATTAGAAGTAAGTCGTACACTTTGTGTAGTAAAAAACCCATGGTGCTAAATTCTGTGTAAAAGACAAGTCACCACTTGGCTGCAAAAGTAAATTCATTTACAGTTGTATCTGGCTGTTATTTTAGCTTAAAGGAAATCCATGTGACATCTGCAACCCTATTCAGTGAAAGCCAGCAATATCCTATTATACATGCTAGTGGGTTTTTATTAATAGCTACTAGAAAAGGATTTAAATTCTGCAATTTTCAGCAAAAAAACCCAACTCTCAGGTCTGAAAATTCTGTAACTGTGGCCCAGGTTAAAATCGCAGCAAGTGAACATTACAGCTCCAGGGCATAAAATCCAGTTATTCTTTTTGTCAGTCCATAAAACAGCAGTTCTGGTTCCTTATGGTTCCTGTGGAAATAATTCCACCCTGTACAATGGATAGGATTCTAGCTCAGAAATCATTAGAACTATAGGACTGTTGTCAGCTGCACTACAACTTATTCCAATATTAAACAATAGCGAGGAATTAAGCAGTGATCAGAAAAAGGTTTGAGAATCTATCAAAGTAACCTGTTAAAACTTGCATTTATAATTTTCATTGTCACTCCATCCCTCAGAAGAATAGCTATAGCTCTCAAAGCTGTAGTGAGTAACTTTTAATTTAGGTATGACAGTTTGTCTAGTGTATGTATAATGCTCAGTGTCATGGGGGCAAAGAAGAGATGGTGATTGAATGGAAAACAGGGCACAGAGGGGTAGGTAGCTTTGAAAGGGGATAGGGCATTAATTTCTAGACATTTTCTCTCAAACCGTTTCGCACAAATAGGAAGAAAATTTGCCATATGTGACTACGCCTCTTCAAATTCCAACTCTCTCACTGTGTAAAACTTCCTTACCTACACTGCATTAGAAACTCATCCAGCCTGGGCAACAGTTCACCACTTCCATGCTTTGAACAGGTGAAGCCCCATTCTTGCACAGCAGGAGAGGAAGGAAGCAAAGGGCTTTCTTTGAATTTAAATAAGAGTTATCAGGAAAGCATGAAGTCGAAAGTGATAAATAACATATACATCCTCATCAAGGACTCAGTCATCCATTAGACTGGAAGACAGCAGGAATCAGCTGCAAAAGACTAGATAGAATTTACTATTTGATTCGAGCCTTGAGATCACTTGGACAGGTGGCTGCTCTATTAAGTTATTCCCACCAGGGAAACTAATATGAAATCTAGCCATCTGCTTGCAGAACTAGTTAAATGTGTATATCCATCCCTACATGCAATACTTTGTCAGTATACTACCACAGAGTTTTGAGTGGATACAGCATGATTCAAGAAACACAATTAAACATAACATGCAAATATTATTCCTCTATTAAAAAAAAGTCAACTTTGGTGAACCACATAGGTGAGAGGAAAAGCCAATACAAAAGAAACATTTTGATGTTACTTATTTCAAACTAACCATGAAATCACTTTTTGTTTATTCCTAAAAGTATGTGCGTATTTTATATGGGAGACCTGTGGAACTAGCCTGAATGTAAAATGTGTTTTGAGTGTTTATGGTAATTTTCAATATTAAAACTTAATTCTTTTAAAGTTATTTTCAGGAACTGCCAAAGGCAATAACAGAATGGCTGTACTTAACTGAAGTGCTAGCTCTTATTAGAGCATTTTTATCTGACATTCTGAAAAGGCTTTTATAAACACCTGAAAGCATCCCAATATCACAATGTCTTAAAGCAGGCACACAACAAAAGCAAAGGAACGTAGAATTTTCAAGTAGCTGCTAATGTTGTGTACCCACATTTCTCAAATTTGGAACCCTAAATTAGGGGAGACAGTAAAATTTCATCCTAAATGTTTTACTGAAAATCAGAACAGCAGAATATAAAAAAGTCAGTAGTCCTGACAAAGTTTCCTATACAAAGAATCATAGACTCATAGAACCTCAGGGTTGGAAGGGACCTCAGGAGGTCATCTAATTCTCAAAGCAAAACCATCCCCAACTAGATCTGCCCAGCCAAAGATCTGTCATGCCTTCAAATCCCCCAAGAATGGAGATTCCACAAAATCTCTGGATAACCTATTCCAGTGGTTTACTAACCTCCTAGTGAGAACGTTTTCCCTAATATCTAACATAAACTTCCCTTGCTGCAACTTGAGTCCACTGCACCATGTTTAGTCATCTGCCATCAGTGAGAACAATTTAGGTCCATCCTCCATCCCCTTCAGGTAGCTGACAGCTGCTATTAAATCCCCTCTCAGTCTTCTTTTCTCTAGACTAAACAAGCCCAGTTCCCTCATCCCCTCCTCTTAAGTCATGTCCCCCAGCCCACCAACCATTTTTGTTGTCCTCCACTGGACCGTCTCCAATCTGTCCACATCCTTTCTGCAGAGGGGCCCAAAACTGGTAACAGTGCTCCAGACGTGGCCTTACCAGTGCTGAATAGAGGGGAATAATCACTTTCCTTGACATGCTGGTGACACACCTACCAGTGCAACCCAGTATGCCATTAGCCTTTTTAGCAACAAGGGCACACTGTTAGTTCATATTCAGCTTATTCTCCACTGTAACCACTGTACCACCCCAGCCTGTAGCAGTGCATGGGGTTGTTCTGTCCCAACTGCAGGACTTTGCATTTGTCTTTAGTGAACATCGTAAGATTTCTTTCGGCCCAATCCTCCAATTTCTCTAGGTATCTCTGAATCCTAACCCTCCCTGCCACTGTATCTACTACTCTCCTGCCCAGTTTGGTGTCATCTGCAAACTTGCTGAGGGTGCACTCTGTGCCATGTTCCAGGTGGCATATTATTAGATTATAATAGTCCAGTACAAAATTTAGTGCTACCCTGATAGTGAATTTCTTTGCAAGGTTTTATAAAATTAATTTATCATTATCTCCATTTTACATACAGGGAAACTGTGACAAGGAGGAGCAAATTGACTTGCCAATGTCAGAGTCAAGCATCAGATCAAGAAAAACTATAATAACCTGATTCAGTCTTCAGCTCTTACCATAGACAATATCACCTTCAGGTCAGAAATTATTTTCCATTTCCTTTTAATAGACATAAGGTTTGTGGTGTAAACTTCCCTTAAATTCTCTTGCAGTGCAACCTCCTGATGGTTAGAGATATGGCACTTCAATATGTGTTAGTTTAGTTCCAAAACTATGTTTGAGCAACAGACATCTAATCTCAGAAGTGTTTCCAACACAGAGATCCTGCAGTATAGCCCAGAGGACGGCTCTAACCCAAATTACTCAATGTACAATATCTTTAGCTAATTATGGGTACATGAATTTTGATCTTTGTAGGTATGTCCAGAACTGTCACTGAAGCCAAAACCTAATCTAATTCATCAACGAGATGTCCAATTTGTTCACTTTAGTAGCTATTAATCAAATGAGTTACTTAGGAACAGCTATTTGGCATGCAGGCTCTTTGAAAAATCATTTCCACACACTACGATTCACAGTTTTTTCCTTCAAGTCACAGTCAGCCTCTTAGCTACACACTGGTCTTGTTATAGAACACAAATAACCTTTTTCACTTTTCCTGGGAGAACAAGGGAATCTCTCACCTTTTGATGCTTCTGAAAACAGCAGAAGTATCCCAGCATGCCATGCTGCAGGAAAGTATGCAGCCTTCCATGGTGCTTGACAGAA